GTGTGTGTGTGTGTGTGTGTGTGTGCGTGAGCAAGCGAGAGAGAGAGAGAGCAAGAGAGAGCTAGAGAGAGAGCGCGAGAGAGACAGAGAGAGGGAGAGAGAGAGGGAGAGCGAGAGAGAGAGCGCAAGAGAGCGAGAGAGAGAGAGAGAGAGAGAGGGTCACATCACAGTGGAGTCAGCTGTCTTAACCGTGGCTTGTGTACTGCAAACACACCAGCTTCATCACTGTGTCTGTCACGCGACTCTGTTCCCCTTTCGGGCTCTGTCTTTACATTTATTTTGAAAGATGAAGCTGGCGATTATGGTAAGGGGCGTTACATTTCCGACGAGTGCTTGCAGTGTTTGGCCAATCACAATGCACTGGGTCAGCTGGCCAATCAGAGCAGACTGTGCTTGTCGGAAGGAGGGACTTTGTAGAAAACGAAGCGTTTGAGAGAGGCGGGGCATAGAGGACCTACAATAATATACAGTATTTGAAAAATAATGTGTTTTTTGAACATTAAAGCATGTCAACATATTCTGTTACACCAAATACACCAAATAATGATCTTTAAAAAAGCATCATATGACCCCTTTAATAAGTGAAGTGCAAAACACATTTGCTTTGGTCATGCTGACTGTTGATAAAACAAAAAAATAAAGGAAGCGAGACATGTAAATCTAGATTTATTTCTATGGAACAAATGCAAAAATACTCAATAAAACAACAAAAAATAGCTGGACAGACAAGCCAACCAGCACACACACAGACAGCGAGGAAATCTGGAAGTATAGCGGGCATCTGCAGACTCATAAAGCATTACAAAGCATATTCTGCAGCTCAGTTAGTATGCACTGAGCGTGTGCTTTCTGTGCGGACGCTGCTTCACTTTACTTGGATTCTTCAAACTTTCATAGTTGTGTTGTGCAGCAGATTGTGTGGAACAAAAGGCCCCTCAGTGCAATCTGTGCTGACTAGAATACTTAAACCCACCATTTGTGTAAGATTATCCTCTCTTTGTGCGCTGCAAAGTGCCCTGTCACCAAAGCAACTAATCACGCATAATGAGGCGAGTGGGAGGAGCAACAACACTCACAACAGCTCCACTTCAGCATGTGGGTCATTATAAAAAAACATGTGACTTTAACAATGAACAGCTGATGTCATCATTTACTATGTGCTATTAAAGCATTTTCTTACCACATCAACAAAAGTATAGCGACTTCCTTCTATTTTCAAATGCTTTCTCTTTCTATTTCTTTAAGATCATCTTTTTTGGCCTGTCCCAAAAACTGTTTCTTCTTTTCACTGCATTAGCAAATGCACACTTTTTGTTAAAAAATGTCTACTCTTATCTTTTTAGTTATGTATATTATGCATCTTTTCAGATTCAGGTTGACAAAATAAGTTGTATAAGTATCCCTTATTAAAAAAATTCCAGAAATCTATTCCAGAAATCATTACTTTTCTTACTGACATCATTTCTAATTTTTTAAAGGATAATGTCGACTTAATTTTTTTCTGTGTTGTTATGTTTGTCAGTACAAAAAAAAAATGGCGCAGAAACAATATTCTCTCAAAATTGCTAGTAAATTTCACAAAAAAAGCAAAGAAATGGTAAGTAAATAATATGGAATTTTTAAGTTGAAAAACTGCATTTTCTTCAAATAGCATTTTCTTGTAAAATGTACTTTAATAATCCAATAAACTTTTAATCAAAAAACTGTATTTACAAATTCAAACATTTTTACAGTGTAGAGGATGATCATAAAGTTATTCTGATTGTGTATAGTAAACAACTGATTACTGAAAAATGGTTATTTGTATTTATACAGTTTCACTCAGAAATAAGTCACATTATGGCAATAAAAAGGGTTGCAAATGCAGTTAATGGAAATTAACTATCCAAATGAATCGCTTTTTCAAAATGTAAAGTGCACCCATAGAATGCTGACCAGGTCCTGACTGATTGCATCTTGAATATTCTGTTGCTGACTCTTAATCACAGTATCTGAAGTCAGCGGGCGCACACTTCATAGACCTCAGGAGCGAAACATGTTTCTTCCCACTGAGAATTGTTCCAGCCCCTCTCGACGGCCATCTGCACATACCTACAGTGTCCAAAACTTCCCAGAATTAGCCTTGTCTCCATGAACAGAGATTCAATCTGCATTTCCACATAACTCAAGCTGCGTATAAGGGAAATATCCCAAAACAGTCAACATAATGTAATAAGACAGAAAGTCCATTTAAAGCACTTTCACCTGTCAGACATAGCCTTAATGTCTGTCCCCTGCCGCTACTTTAGCACAAGACACAACATGTCAACACAGAGGATCTGACTTACACACAGAGGAAGATCTGGTGTCACAGTGGATTCTGAAGAAACTCCATTACACAGAGATTCAAAAGTGACAGGTCATACAAAAAGACCTGCATCTTTCCTAAAAAAAAGGTTATATCACACAGTTTTAGTCATTTATTTTTTTTCCCCTGAGGTCAAATATGAAAAAATATATGAAAGCCACATAAAAAAACACTTTGGTAAATCATAATTATGAGATAAGTCTAAATTATGAGATATAAAATCATAATTGTGACATAAAAAGTCAATACTATGAGATAAAAAAGTTAATATTAATGACATAAGTCAAATTTCTAAAACATTCAACCTTTCTGAAGGCATAATTATATTCTAATATATATATAAAATAATTTGTATACGACTTGTGTCATAATTATGACAAAAAGTTAAAATTATGAGATATAACTGTAACATAAAAAGTTGAAATTATGAGATAAAAAGTCAATATTTGTGGAAATGTCAAATTAAACTGTAAAAAGTTAATCCTCAACTTTTCTGAAGGCATAAGTACATCCCAAAATATATAAAAAGTCAAAATTATGAGACATGAAGTAATAATTTATGAGATAAAAAGCCAGTATTTGTGAAAATGTCAAATTAAACTAAAATGTTCATCCTCAACCTTTCTGAAGTCAAAAGTACATCCCAAAATATACAGTATAAAAGTATTT